CGATGACAGGTCACAAGAGCCAAGGTGCTACTAGTATAAGGTGCACGGTTTTCGTACATGTAAAGGAAGCGTTCGCGCCTGGACTACTGTACGTTATGCTCAGCCGCGTTACTGACCGTTCTATACTGAAGATTCTAACTCGTCTTGTCCCGTCGGATTTCCAACCCGTGCCTGATCTACTCAACATTGGGTAGCCTCCTCAGTGGAACTTTCTGTTCTATGCAGCGACGATGGCTGATCCTTATGACTGCTCCGCCTTCTTTGACGAACTCAACGCCGCCATTCCCGATCAACGCGCTCACCCGAGCGAGATGCATAAATCCATATTACATCTCAATGGCGTCCGCCCATCCGAGTACAGCGACGGCTTCAACAATCACGCGGAAATGAACCAGTTTGTCACGTCCAAGATCAATGATGGCAAATGCTTCCAGGAGCGTACAGGATCTCAGCCTATGGACGGTAAGTTAATAGTCGGCTTATGCAAACTATCTCTTCTACCTGCCGATTCTGATTGTTTGGGGCGGTGCAGAGAATATTGCGCAACGCTGTGTATGCGTTCTGAGAATTAGCTCTTTGCCCCACCCTGCCTTTTTCACACACTCCAAAAAGTCTCGTACAACTGTTCAGATTTTATCGCCGCGTTGAGACCCTTATTAAATCTTATACTTTGTGCCAGAAACTTGTTACGGTTTGATTGTACGCCGCTAATATTAGATTAAAGAGGATGCAGACAGAGATATACACAGGTCTTCCATTTGCGTAATTAGCTGTTCTGTGCGGGTAGTGACGAAAACATGTGATCACAAACATTTTCAACACCTTACAGGAGTGCTCAAAGAAATCGTCGACGACTGGGATGTACATATAGACTTGGACTCGCTGAGCAAGAAGGACTCATACACGCTACTCAAGCGTCACAGCGGAGGAGCTATGATCAAGGATCTATCGAAACTGTATAGGGAGTTCGGCATCTCCCCCGCGAAGCTGCGCCCGCTTCGCGAGAACAAGGTACGTGAGACGTGCGGTTGAAGCCTGGCTCGACCTGTAGTATTGTTTGATCAGCAAGTACAATTCGTATAAGAGTTTGGCCACCTGTCGTAAAGGATGATCCAAGCAAACGCTGTCATCATTCTCGCACGGACTCATCAACATATTCAAGAGCATACAGTGTTACTTTGATTTGGCGCAGGCGACAGCGATCGTCAAACAGCTCAGCGAGGCCCCGAAGCCCCCCCAAGGCAACTACGAGCCTCTCTTCGACAACATAGAAGGTTCTATCCGCGAGGACCGCGTGCATCTGAGCTCGCGTCAAAAGCACATGATCAGTCTGAACGGCGTCATGCCGGCGGAATTCAGCGCCGGGTTCTCAGGGACAGGAGCTGCCCACACGTTCGTCGACGCGAAGATGCAGCAGGCGCAGGCCTTCGCGGAAGAGCATGGAACTCGTCCGGCCGACGGTACGTAGCTCAAGCTCTCAAGCCTTGTTCTCCTATCAACGGTGCTGGTTGAAAACCACTACAATGCTCCGTTCTTGTCAAAAGTGAAACGTGACTGGGACACGATGTACTGTGACTGATAAGACTTACCTTGTGCGCACAGGTGTTACCAAGGAGCTGCTGCTGCGCTGGGGAGTCAACTTCGATCCGGCGACGCTGACGAAAGACGACATGTACAAGCTGCTGCAGCGCACCAGCGGGGGTGCGCGCGTGAAACAGTATCAAGAACTGGTACTCGACTTCGGCATCGCACCTGAGAAGCTCCGTGGACTGAGCGAGGCAAAGGTAACTTCCTTCTGACCAATTACTTCTTTATAACCGGTAGAAGGTCTCGTCTATGGACAGAAGGTTCTTCGTCCCGCCCCCCCACCCCAGTAATCACCGTTGATCTTATGACTTCTAAAGAAAGGCTTAACCGCTCACCGAAAATTGACTGCCTAGTGAAGCTCCTTTCAAAAAGCATACGCGGCAAATCGACCTTGGTAACGTTTGACGCGGATCTCATGATAACCTAAACCATTGACGAAGCGTTCTTCGCCCCGCCCCCCCTCCCCAGTAATCGCCGTTGTTCTGCGGACTTCTAGCAGAAGACTCTGCCGCCACCCGTAGTTCGCCTTCTGAAGCTCGTTTTTGAAAACAATCCGCGGCAATTCCATTTCCTTTGAAAGTGCTCGGTGAACAATAGACCCGTCCGAAATATTTGTGAAATCGATGAAACATTCAGCGAATAGCTCGATTGTTTTCTGCTGTTCTCTTGATATCCTTAGCTACTGTTGTAGGGTTCTTCGCCCCGCCCCCCCTCCCTCCCAATCGTCGCAATTATGAAGACTTCGAGTCGGACAATCTGCTGTTAACCGTCCAGTTACTAATACCCGAAATTCTGCGAAAAGGCGCTGTGCCCTGCCTACCACATCCCTTCTCCACACTTCAGCCTCAAATTAACCTTACTTCGCGTTCCGGTCAGGACGGTTATGAAAGCCTGCTTATTGAATATGGAATCCTTGTCGACAACCGTCCACATATTATTCTTCCTTCCTGTATAATTACCACGAACACTGAGCCGTGCTTTGTACAGGCGACGTATATCCTTCAACAATTCAACGCTCGCGCTCAAGCCGTCAAGCGCGCTCGAAGCGCGGACGAGAGCGACCAGCAGACCGGGCCGGTGCTGACCGCTCTGCCGAATGGCGCCCAGGCGGCCGCGCCGCCGAACGGCGCCCAGGTGGCCTCGCTGCACCCACCCGCGCCGGCCGCGATGCACCCGCCCGTCGCGGCCGCGCCACCCGCTGCTGCAGCGGTTCTACCGATCCCAAACATCGCCGACGCTGGGGCGACCACGACGGCTGCTCCCCCGCCGCAGCGCCGCCGCCGCAATACTGCTGCGGCGCCCAACCAATGAACGCATGATGGCACCCAAACAGCGTCGGGTCCGTGGGCGGTCTATAAGGTCACGTGTAGCAGTAATAACCGGGTGTACATAGGCTATACGAATCACGTGAAACGTAGAATCTCGCAGCACGCGTCGCGGCCGCCGCGCCGCTTGCGCGCAGATGTCAAGCGGTTGGGTGGATTCCGGTCCAATTTCGTAGTCGACGTGATCCGGGATGGTGTCACTGAAGCGGAAGCTAAGGTCTTAGAATCGTCGTACATAGAGCTATTAGGAACGAGAGGAGCTAACGGTTACAACATTCTAGAGAGTAACCCGGGGAGGTCTCGATTCTACTGATGGGCGAAGCGGCATGGCAAGCCGCAATAAGGGAGCAGGACACGGGAACGCATTCGAATCTTGTAATCGTGATTACGTATCAGTTCGTCTTCATAGCAGATAATCAGCATTCACTGGACGTCCTTGTACTGAGGATCAGAACTTTGCTGCTGTTACGATCTGTTACTCGTCATGAACGGACCGCACAGCTGCCAATTTCTATACAAACAAGCCTGAATGCTACATCATCCATAAAGCTGATTTATGTACCTTCGTACAATCGAACTGTTACTGATAATGCCTCGTGCTCTGTCACGGAACTTTCGCAATTCTTATCTCCCCAAGTAATTGGGTCCCGTCCGACATCATGCATCGATTGTGAAGCTATGAAAGACTTTGGAACGAGTATGAAGACGTTGCTTCTGCGATGATGTGGTACTAGACATGAATGGACCCCGCAACTGTCAATCTCTAATCGAACAGGTTTGAATGCCACAGCATCCTTACAAACGACTTTTAATCCTTTGTGTGATCGAAATATTGTTTTGTGACGAACTGTCGTTCCCAAACGTCTCTAGCTCTAGGGTCTGTACCCTACTTAACAGAGAGCTAATATCGACAAGTAAATCCCGTCCTTTAACCATACTCGTCTGTGCACACCAGAATTGAGAACCTAATCCCATCCAGTAGAACGCTCCCGACCGTTAGAACTACTAGGAGACTCCGGCTCACGCTCCTCTACCGGCTCAGGCTCCGCAAATAGCTCCGGCCTTTCGGCCCTCAGCCGCCCGAGGTACTCGTCCTCACGCTCAGCAGCCTCTCGGAACCGACCCGCCTAGTGCCACAAGGTCAGACGTTCCTTTGTGGTCTCAGAGAACGGAAAGAAATCCCCGAGCCAGCTAGGAACATAACCCCGGCGCTCATCCCAGTTCTCCTCGCTTGCGAGCCGGAACTTTGAGTCCAAATGCAGCTTCAGATCGTCTGCCAGGCTGTCTCTGACAAGAATGAAAGCTCCTTTCCTAAGAGACTCTGTCAAGGCCCTGACGCACCGCTCGTCCCACACCTTGTCCCCCCGCCCAAAGCATGCGACCAGCACGTCGCAGACGCCCTGAGGTCCAAGGTGAACCAGGACCTCCTCTTGTTCCTCTTCGGACAGACATGTACGGAAAGAAGGATGGGCTGCTGGGAGAAAAAGAGATGGCCTCTTTGGAAAATACAGATCAGGAGAATGCTCACGCCTCTCGAAGTCCTGCTGGGACTTTATATGATAGACACTGCCATCACCGAAAACCTCTGGCCCATAAAAGCAATCGGTGGGGTGAACTCGGTACCCGAACTCGGTAAGCCACGTCAGCCGCAGATCGTCGTCATATGCGATGTCCCAGTATGATGGTTTTTCTCCCACCACTTGCTGGAGGACCAGAGACAAAGCTTTCCTAACAGTGCAAGCGATCTTTTCCCTTAGATGCCGAGACAGCCACTCTCGCAGATTGAACCGAAGATCCTTATGCACATGCCAGCACAGGATCCTCCTCACATCCCTGAAAAGGAACTTTCCTGACACTGTCAGGTGCCACAGAATCTGCTCCTCCGCAGGTTCCCTCGACAAATTTCGGTACTCCTTATCCCGCATGAGCTGCTGAGGAAAGGACGCGGCTGACGACGACATGATTAACCTCTGATACCGGCGCAACGCCCACCCGCTAAGCGCGGCTATATTGCACTGGTAAAAACGGAAGACGAAGCGGAACTATATTCACCTACGGAGCACCCATAAAACAAAGACGGGAGAGCCCTTATTCCAAAAACTGGGTGTATGTTGTGATGTCTTGCATCTCTCCCGTTCTCCTACCTAGGCGCCGATCCGCAGACTGGAAGAATCCTAGATTGAACATCGAGAAGTTCATTTGCCAATTTGACAGACCCAGCAACTCAGCTTGAGACACCCTCGGTTTCGAGCCACGCTCATCAGACCACGTGCCGGTTGACATTAAATGGCATGCATTATGCATGGTATGACGCGGCTCGTCGGGTTGTCCCGTTCGACCAATAGTATGCGCAAGCACGAGATGGACCCGTGTAAGTTTGTCCGTCAAATTTGCAGCAATAGAATTCCAGAGCGCGCGCAAGTCTCGTGTAGAATCTAGCAAGGCAGAAAGCAGACACGCCGTCTGCACGCGCACGGATTCTAGGACAAGTTCGAGTACACATGTTCGTACAACCAATTTATCATATGTTTTTAGAGCCTGCCAATTTCAGACCGAACTCTCATTATTGTTATTTCTCTAAGGGTTGGGCCCTGTCCAGCATCATACGACTACTAGCCTTTGCAGCTAACTCTTCTATCGTTGCCAAGTTGCGGACTACCGCGTCGACCATATCTTTCCTGCACGGCGGCTCCCAGAAACTATCCGCTGGTGTTCCGATGAGTGTGAATGTGTCCCCGTCTCTGGGCTTCAGCTCCGGGTGCAATCCCGATTCAAAGTCGCGGATTGTTGCAGCCACCGAAACGGGCCCTGTGACCGTCGTGCTAACGCCGGAGATCTCTCCGGTCTGGGAATTCACGCATATTGTCCGTCTCTCTTTCAAGCGCTGCTTACTGTCTTCCACATTCGCTTCCCGTTGTACTCCTGCGCACCCG